ATCCTATTAGGCTCAAAAGAAAACAGGGTTGTTGCTTTTGAAGACGTTACGCCATCAATGGTGCCTTCTGAGGTGGTATATCGTTATGAGTATAATTCTGATTTTGTATTGGGTGAGAGTTCTCACAGTGGATTGGGATTCGCTGATGAACAAGACGAAACCCCTTGTGTTACTGAGTTGTCATCGGGTATGATGGATGAGGATGAGGAAGAGGAAGAGGAGGAGCAGTTGCACACAGGATTGGGTTTCTCTAATATCCTACAGAATTCAGCTAGTGGAGAATTGTCACAGACAATTGTCCTTAAGGGAAGAGAGCGGAGCAATGGTTTTTCCACCAATGAGGTTGAGGAGGATGGAAATGATGACGGCTCTATGGATCAAGATAAATATGAGGATGGTTCTGGTTTCCTTCATGATTTTTCAGATAAGACACCAGCATCTAAAAAAAATTCTGCATTTGTGTCAATTGGAGGTGTGAAATTGTACACCCAAGATATTACTGATGACGATGAGGAGGAGGAAGAGGAGGATGAAGAGGATTCATCTGATGAGGGGAGCTCTTCTGGATCATCTGACAGTGACTCTGAAGGTAGCTCAGACTTTGATTCTGATATTGATGATGCCATCATGGATGATTACTTGGATGGAATAGGAGGAAGCAGTCAAATTTTAAAGTCCAAGTGGTTAGCATCACAGAATCTTGATAATCATGTGCTTGGTGATGATACTGATGATGATTCTAGCAATGATGCTTATGGGGAAACTTTAAAAAAATTGAGTGGTGTTGCTCTTCAAGAAGCATCTAGGGAGTATGGTAGGCAAAAACAGCGTTCAAAAAAGAAGCCTCCAGTCAAGTCTAAATCTAAGGGAACTGATGTTGATTGGTCTTCAGCTATGGATGATTTGATGCTAGTTAAGGATCCGAGACGGCAATCTGCAAAGAAGAAGCATGTTGCTCAATTCCCTCAGTCATGGCCTTCAGAAGGGAGGAAAAGCAAAAGGTTTGGGAGGTTTCCAGGTATTTGTCTTTCATCGTGAATTAGGGATTAGTAGAGTACGCTTATAGCGCATATGACTGGTGGTATAAATGTTAGTATTGGTATGTTAGTATTGGGACTATAGGTAAATTTGATGCCAATGTCCATCTTAAGTATTGCTTTTTCTTCGTAAACTTATTACCCTTTAAAACAGTAGGCCACCTCTAAATTGGCAATGGATGCATAATGGTAATTTACTGACATATTTTAGTATTACCACATATTATTTATGTGCTGTTAGTATCTTTATGTGATTTGTTGTCTTTTTATTTTATGGTTAATTATGAAGACATTTGTTATTTATGCTGGTTGATTAGGCAACAAATTCGGTTCTGCTATTCGGAACATAGTTTGTCTTCCGATAGATACAATGGTTGTCCATTTCTTAAGAATTCTATTATAATTTATAACTTTATAAGTATCATAGAATATTTAGTTTTTCACTGAGTTGTTAGAATTTGCATTCAAGGTTATTTAAACCTTGCTACTGTTCTGATAACTGATTTTCCAGGTGAAAAAAAGAAACACCGTAAAGAGATGATAGCGGTGAAGCGTAGGGAGAGGATGTTGCGTCGTGGTGTTGATCTTGAGCATTTAAACACGGTAAGCTATATATCTATATGAAAATGGAGTTTTTTTGGAGGGGATTTTCCCTCCTAAACTGTACTCTATATGGTTAATAATTGACTATTGATTAATATGTAGGGTAATCTTCTCTATCTTTTGTGGGTATTTCCTTATATATTATTAAGTAGCTACCTCTTTATTGACTTTGGTGCCTTTCTTCACCAGCTTTTGGTAAAGATTGGCATTCATGAGCTGATAAGATTAACAATTTAACATTCATACTTAATTTAACTATACAATAAATTTATGGGTGCTTATAAGAATAAACTTAACATTAATGTCTGAATATCATTTGATTATAGTTCCTTGTTTCCTCTGATATTGTAGATTTTTGTAACAGTGATCTTGACTTATGTGACCTTTCCTGCTAACTATCTAAACGTTTTGCTCTGTAGAAGCTGAAGCATATGGTTTTAAGTAACATAGATATGGTATCATTTCCTCCCATGTACCCTCGGGATTGTTCTCAGGTTTGTTGACCTGTACTCCTTGGGTTCTGACTCCTATATGGCTATATTCCGGGTATTTTGATTTAATAGGAACTCTTTGGGTACTTATAGGTGCAACGACTGGCTGCAATATATCGTTTAAAAAGTGGCTGCCTAGGTTCAGGCAAGAAAAGGTATGCTCTGATTTCTTTAATATTTTGAAAAGTTGCTGGTTTTCCTTATCATTTTTAATTTTAGCTGCTGTTAAGGGTTAAGCACTTAAGCAGTTTGAAGTCTGAGTCATCTGCTATCATGGACTTGTAACTGTAAGGAACCGAGTTTCACTCAATAATTAATTAATAATTTAGACAAGATTGAGGCAAGCTTGAGTTTTGATTGATTAATTAAGGAAGGAATTACAACTACTAGGATAGGTGACAACTTTAGGCTATCAATCTCAAGGGTAGCTTGAGGCTACTACTCTACAATGAGTTCTCTCAATTTCTGGATAAGTGGCTACTACTACAAGCCTTGCAATTCATACTCAAGCACTGCAATTTTCCCTAAACTAATTACGGTTGACCTCTACAAATTGGAATTTACAATCTCTGTCATAGTTGCTAAAGTGGTGTCTCCTCCTTTTCAAGCTTGTCTCTTTCCCGAATTGGCTTGCTTGACAAAAGCTACTGCTTCCTCTGTTTCTCTAATTCAGTCCCAGCTTCCTCTTGGTTACCGTTGAATTCGATTTGCTTGTGAGCTTGACCCACTTGTGCCACGTGACCCTTTTTGGCCCTACGGTGATAAACCTTTATGGGCTGGCCCAAATTCGGATCCATCACAGTAACTTTGTAAGCTAGTTAGTCCAATACAGTAAAACAAGTAAAAGGACTTAGGCATCACTAGCTTTGTGATATGTACTTGTCTACATTGACTTGCATTAGGTGGCAACTTATTTACAGTGTTTGTAAAGACACTGTCCTCCTTTCTTGGGTTTGTAGTGTAGAACTCTGTTTAAACCTAACCTTGAGGCCTTGTTTTTACACGAAATTTGGCATTTTTTGGTCGTTTGTGATGTGCATTATCTGCTACATGAGCTTTTATGCACTAATAATTATTTTGCATACACTAATAGATTGCTTATGTAATTATTTTGTTTATTGATGACATGTCCTTGTGGATATGGAGGGACTTTATTGGAAATTTTAGATCTCATATTACAGTTGATACAAAATTTCCACTTTTATAAAATAGTCGACTTATGGAACGTGTTAGAAAAATTATAATTATAATCTGTTTGCGATAAAGAAATACATTGACCTACTCAAAATGATGCTGCAACTATACTGTCTGTTAATATTGACTGAAGAGAGTGTCAGATGTATCTTAATACTTGGACCTATTTGTCTATGCCCATCCTATATGAACTTGGTGTACTTTGGTCTATACTTACCTTGGCAATTGTCTTTTGTCTAGGTTTGTAACTGTAAGTCGAACACAACACACCTCTATGCCATCTGCAAGTGATGAAATTCGTCTGGAGAAGGTAGGTTCATCTCAGCAGTCTGTAGAAATTTTAACATGAATTAATCTTCTCATTCCAACATCGGTTTAACATTCTGATTCATGGACTGGTGCAATTTGAATCCACAGCTGATTGGATCCAGCAAGGATGATGCTGATTTCCCAGTGGTTAATACACCTCAAAGTGCCCGTGCCCATGTCCGTAGTGGGTCTGCTCAGAAAAAATTTACTAAGAAATTGGCTGACCAACAAGGCAGCTGCAGCAGCAAGAGTGGGAAGATAAGGAGTGGGACAAAGCCCGGAGGATACAATCAACCGGTGTCATTTGTCCCCTGTGGTGTAATTCAACCGGAGATTGTCCCTGTCAGCACTGTTGAACTAAACGACAACTCTCCTCAAGAAATCAAAGCTGTAGACAATTCCCCATCATTGATTGGCTCATTTGAAGTTCACACCAAGGGTTTTGGTTCAAAGATGATGGCTAAGATGGGATATGTGGAAGGTGAAGGTTTGGGGAAAGAAGGAAAGGGAATGGCCTCACCCATTGAGGTAATTCAACGACCCAAATCTCTAGGGTTAGGAATGGCATTTGTCGAAAACAGCAGCGAAACTGTGAACATAGCTACAAGTGGTGGATCAGCTAGGAATTCTACTCCAAATGTCAGATCAGCGAAGAATACCACTCCAAAAGGTGGATCAGCAAGGAATTTCACTCCAAAAGGTGGATCAGCGAGGAATTCCACTCCAAAAGGTGGATCAGCTAGGAATTCTACTCCAAACATTGGTGCTTTTGAGAAGCATACTAAAGGGTTTGGCTCAAAGATGATGGCAAAGATGGGATTTGTTGAAGGAATGGGTTTGGGCAGAGATTCTCAAGGCATAGTTACCCCATTGTCAGCTGTGAGACGCCCTAAAGCCAGAGGCTTGGGCGCTGAAGGTTAAAGGTCATAAGATTTCATGTCTAATAGTTTGTGTTCAAATGCTGATTTGCCCAGTCTCTCCCACTGCTGCTGCATTACAGCGCTGCTTATAGCTTTGTAGGATGATCCCAAAGTCATTGATTGAGGTCAACAAATATAATGAATTTTTTAGTTATTTAACAGTGAACTGCCCTTTGGTTCATGTAGTGTTATACTCTTAGATAGCTTGTAAATTGATGATAAAAATATGTGATGCTTGGTGCATTTCAAGTTAGTCTGTAATATGATGTAAATTAAATGGATTTTAAATCTAATAAAGCAATAAAGGTATCTTTTTACCACCAAATAGAATGAACCTTAAGGGTCTGTTCTCTTAGCTTATTTTCAGTTTAGTTTAGCTCCAATAAGTTCAGTTTAGTTCAGCTTCCATAAGTTAAGTTCGGATCAGTTCAGTCAATCAAAACAGGCCATAAATGTGTCATGTAAGAAAATAATAAGGTTCATGATTACAAAAAAATAAGTCATCAATCCCATCAGCATGAGCTCATGAAAACTTTAGTAAAACAATATACTCTATCTTTTGTTTTTTTAGGAAATATACTCTGTATCTTAAGGGCTTGTTCTGTTCAGCTTAATTTCAGTCCAGTTCAATTCCAATCAGTTCTGTTTAGTTCCTAATTTCCCTCTCTCATAAACAATTCATTTCAATTCAGCCCCAATCAGTTCACCTTAGTTTTTTTCTTCAGTAAATCGAAACGGGCCCTAAGTCTACTTTTGAAAGTTTGTAACTTAAACCTTGGTCTTGATCCAACATAGATGCATATAAATATCAGATTTTATCAATTTAGCATAATCATACAACACGGAGTACATGTTTTTTTTAATTCATTGAATGAAGTAATTTTAGGTTTTTACTTGAAATAATTTCAATTGCAATGAATGAATAAGCACTATTTATTTATTTATTTATTTTTGAAAGGAAATAAACACCAAACTTATTTCATTGGAAATTTGGAATATTGGAATTGGAATGAATAAAACTGAGCACCAAACTTGACTAAAAAAACAAAAAAAAATTGCAATAATTTGGGAACAAATACGTGAATCTCCCACTTTCCAATTTCTAGTTACAGTATGCACCAGCAAAAAAGAAGTCGTTAATGTCACTCAATTGGTATTCAACAACTGAAATTGAGACAACAAATCGTGAAAATGGCACCCAATTCGCCGCCGTCTCTCGGTCATCTCCTCCGAAAAAGCTTGTTATTCCAGCAAACAGTAATCTTGACAATCACCTTCTTCGCCTACGCCTCTCTCCACGCTTCTCGCAAACCCCCAAGCATTGTGAAATCAGTCCTTGGACCTGAAATCTCCAGAAATGGCAGCACCCCACTTGATGATTTGGCTAATTCTGAAAAGGGTTGGCCTCCTTTTAATGGAACTCAAGGAACTCATCGATTAGGTGAGCTTGATCTAGCTTTCTTATCTTCTTATGCAATTGGGATGTTCTTTTCTGGCCATTTTGCTGATACTCTTGATCTTAGATTGTTTCTTTCATCTGGGATGTTGCTCAGTGCTCTTTTTACTGTGGCTTTTGGATTTGGATATTGGCTTCAAATTCATAGTTTCTTGTATTTTGTTATTGTTCAGATTTTGTGTGGTTTTTCTCAGTCTACTGGTTGGCCTTCTGTAGTTTCTGTTGTCAGTAATTGGTTTGGAAAATCTAAGAGAGGTTTGATCATGGGGGTTTGGAACTCCCACACTTCTATTGGGAATATTATGGGTTCGATTGTTGCCTCATCCATGTTGAAATTTGGGTGGGGTTGGTCTTTCTTTTGGGCTGGATTCTTTGTGTTTTTGATTGGAATTCTTGTGTATTTGTTTCTTGCTGTGAGCCCTGAGATTATTGGTTTGTCACTTCCAAGCGAAATCGAGTTGAACCCAATTGAGGCTTCTGATCATGGGGAAGCTGAACATTTGGGTCTCCTCCAATCCAAGGATTCAAATCCCCTGGAAGAAGCTAAGCCTCTTGAAGGGGAGGAAATCAATTCTTCGGATGCAATCGGGTTTATAGAAGCTTGGAAACTGCCCGGAGTTGCATCTTTTGCAGTCTGCCTGTTCTTTTCCAAGCTTGTGGCCTACACGTTTCTGTATTGGCTACCATTCTATATAAGGCACACAGGTAATAATGCTCTTAATTTTTGAGTTTCTGGTTTTGGTGTTTCTCAGTGCAGATGATTAGAATATTCAGTTTTGACATGGATTTTGTTTTGTAATGGAATTGAAGCTGTTGCTGGTGTGCACTTGTCTCATGAAACTGCTGGATTGCTATCAACCATATTTGACTTTGGTGGTGTTCTTGGAGGTGTTTTGGCTGGTTTGCTTTCTGACAAACTAGAAGCTCGGGCAATTACCTCTGTTTCATTTCTCCTGTTATCGGTTCCAGCTCTTGTTCTCTACCGTGTTTATGGGAGTAGCTCAATGTTTGCCAATAACATTTTGATGTTTCTTACGGGTTCACTTGTGAACGGACCTTATGCTCTCATAACAACAGCTGTGGCTGCTGATCTTGGGACACAGACTGCAATAAGAGGGAATTCACGCGCATTGGCTACAGTCACGGCAATAATAGATGGAACTGGTTCTGTTGGGGCAGCTATTGGTCCAGTTCTAGTTGGTTATATTTCCACCAGTGGTTGGAATACTGTTTTTGCAATGCTTATTACTTCAATCTTCATAGCAGCACTGTCCTTGGTACCTGCTGTGAAGTCTGAGCTAACAGAGAGGAAATCTAGATTACAAATGAACGAAACAGCTCATTAATCAATCGTATCGATTTCCTGTTGTATATCTTGAGTAAGGTGCTCTTACCACACATCAAATCGACAAGCATGGAGATTTTTTGACAATCCATGATTGCATCACATTGGCTGCAAAGTCAGGTGTTATTCCATGTATCCCAGATTTTATACTGCAAAGAGGTGTGTACATTTTGGTTTTTTTTTTTTTTCATACAGATCGTTTCCCTCATGAATATTTCCCGAGGATAGCTTCAGCCATTTGGAACATTTCTTCATACACTGGGATGTCTGAAATTGCAGTCTGTATCACATATTTTTTTGGAGAATTTATATTAATAGAATTGAAGCACAATACACGCATTCTTTTTAGCTATCAATTTCCTATCGGTTTTTGGACAGAAGAATTGACATAACTTTTTAGGTGTTGATAATGATAACTCTTGATTATTGTGAGTTTGTGACTTGTTTAGAATTTACTTAAATTCACAAATAAAATTATAATGTACACGATTTTGTTACATTGGATTAATACTTTTGAGACTTTGCGGTGCTTTCACCTTGATTAACCACTTGTCCATCTTTGTTGTTGAGCCTTGAGCTCTATTTGTTTCCGAATGGTGGGTACATTATACATTTAGCAACATTATATGTCCCCAGATGCCTCCCTTCCATCACCTTAGTTTTCGACACTGGGTCTAAATAATCCGGTTTCATGAATTGTATAGCCTTCAAATTAGCCCTCGAAGAGTTTTTTGAACTTGACAAGGTCCTTCCCGTTACTTTATACAAAACATCGGGATGGCAAGTTGGTGATTGGAACCATCTCTTGCACCTCTTGACTCAGAATGCGACAAAGTTTTGATGGAATTTCAAAGTGGCCTTGAAGTTGAATTAAACTCATTCTCTGGGGACATTAAAGCTGGTTTGAAACCATAATTAACTAGCCTACCAATATCTCTTTGCAAAAGCCTTACACTGATTTGGTGTGAATTTATGGATATTCAAAACTCATTTGCATTGTTAGTGAAGACTGAAGAGTTGCATTAAGGTTCATGCTAAATTATTTATAGCCTACAAAAGATAACCTACACAATATAAACTTTATCATATAAACTTTCATAAATTATCCTAAATATAATATTATAAGATCTATATGGAAAATATATCACAATAATATATTTTCCTATATTCCTAATTATTATCCTAAATATAATATTATAAGATCTATATGGAAAATATATCACAATAATATATTTTCCTATATTCCTAACAGTTCACTTACTAGGGACCAAAATGGCTTCCTGTGGTCCCCACAAGACCATAGAAGAGTACCATCCCCTTTCATTTTCATGACTGAAAAAATAAAAAACTGTCAAAAATCAAAGGTTATAATCCACGCTTTCAGACCAAGTTCTAGAAATTTTATCAGAAAGAAAATTTACACAAGGTGTCCCTGCGGTCATTAAAGTTTGTTTTGTACCATAACGTCATGAGAATAAATTCGGTTCAATTATAGGGTTCTTTCAAAAATTTGTTGCTTTAGTTATCGAGTGCTGCAAAAGATAGTTCCAACCACTCAAATGGCCTCCCCAGATCTTGTAGATCCTAGAGAAAAACCTCGGTCTCATTATGTTTCAGGTCCAAAAAAGTCGAATATTGCCCAAATACATAGGCCATAATATATGCTTTCCGATGAATTTCCCAAAAATATTCCAAAAATGTAGTAAGCACATAGGGTGTACCCCGGGCACCACAACCTCTTCATGGCGTGCCGAGGGGAATGCTAAACAAATGTTTGACAATTTTGGAAAGACCACCTAAGGCATAGCCGGTGGAGAGCTTACTAAGGTAAGCAAATCACTCTTTCTAAGAATTCATAGCAAGGTGATGGTTGATTCTGTGAACGTGATTTTTGTTTAAATATGCAATGAAAATACAATAATGAGCAAAGTGCAGACTTTAATGTCTGCAGCCATGTAAATATGTAATGGTTCTGTGCTCGAATTGCAGTATTCCGAGGAGGGATTATTTGAGATGTCACTGACTTTAGCACAAACTTCGTAGAACTTAAGTTTATGGGCTATATAAAACAACAATGCCAAATATTAATGCACACTTAATTTTGCCAATTGATTCCAAGGATAATCATAGTGAGACTAGCCCTTAATCTTGATCTCCCTGTCCAAAAACAATCATATATAACATGATTTTACTGTAACATTACTAACATACATTACTCTCTCAAGTGTATCACTAAATTTTAAAATTATGGGCATTTTGAAAAATTCAATCATATTATTTCATAAAAATGTGACTACTGTATTCAGATGGAATGAATATGAGCTAACATATTGAATATTTCTATTCAGGTATGTTCAGCTAACTCGTGTTCAAGAATAGTTAATGTACAGACATTACAAATAGAGCTAGAAGCAGGCTGGGCAGCTTAATATAGCAGCTCAATAAATCAGTCCATATTTACTGATCATTCTATTTCTTATAAAGTAACATTAGTTTGTCTAACCTTCCAGTAAATTTCTAATGTTCTGAAGCCCCTCAGCAGAAATGCTTCTTCTGAACCTCATTCTCTGTGGCACAATTGCTGGAGGTGGATCCAAGTGAAAGCTTACAATAACAACTGTCAAATTATCCTTTGCCTCACGCTTAATCGCTTCCTCTACTACTTCCTTACAGCACAGCTTAATATCATTATGCCTTTGAAGCCGCTTTCGAACAAAATCCACCGCGTTTTGGTTGCTGAAAACATCCCATATACCATCACATCCAATGATCAAAAACTCATCTTCCTTGGTCAATGTCACAAGTTTAAGTTCTGGCTCCGCACTCAGAGGTCCACCCTTGTTATCAATGTCTTTCATTCCCTCAAGATGCCAATTTCCAAGAGCCCTTGTTACACCCAATTGCCCGTTAAGATACCCATCTTCATCAAAATATCCTCCCAGCGATTCTACCCTCATCAATTCATTTCTACAGCAGGCCCTGTGATCTTTAGACATCTCCAAAGCCATTCCACGTCGAGAAAGAACTGCTCGGCTATCTCCAGCATTTGCTACAAGTAAAGATCTGACCAAAATGTCACATTATTCAACACACAAAGAATTGAGGAAAGCACATCATAAGCTACAGCAACAGCAAAAAACAGGAATAATGAACATCAAACATGGGATATAGCCTAGGGAAGTCAAGTCCAAGATGTACATAATCTCATCTCCTACTCTTCTAGTTGACTCTCACGGTCTCAACATTCAAGATGGTTTCAAGAACAAGCAGAAAAGTAGGTTCTAAATATGTGTAAAAGCAGAAGCACAATTATACACGACTGCTGACCCTATAAAAGATTCACCAATCACTGTGCCATACAGATTCCCATGACCCATGGGATTTTTTCTGGCTGCAATGCTCATAAATCATCAAATAATCTGTTTTTCGAGTCATACTATGGCTCATCAGCAACACGAGGAATAAAAAATTTCTAAAGAAGAATATTGGAACTATGGATAAGTAAAAGCAGAAGAACAGTTTCAGTTGATAAAGATCAAATAACATTCACCAAGCAAATCCGAGATAAATGAACTACAGTAACCTACCTCCCAAAGATCATTGCAGTGATAGCAGTAGTTCCAGAAGATAGGGAATTCCCAACAGGACATGACTTGGCAAATGCAGTATCAGTCTTGATGAATGACCTTGTGATCACTTTCTCAAGCTCTAAAGGGAAATCAGCATCTTCAACTATGACTCTAGGGAGATGTTCACGGACAAATTGTGCAGCAGCTTTTCCTCCATGACCATCGAATACCTGTTCATAGAACTCCTGTTATACACTGCTCGACGCAAAATATGCTAAGTGCTATGCATTACCATAAATTTAAAATTACAACAAAACCATTTCAACTCTAAAATCACTGTGATTTGCATAATCCTAGGACTGCAAGGAGAAAATTCCAATTTCTAGCTATCTGTTTCATTATAAAAGTAATTATTTCTTTTGCCAACTAATCAACTCATGATCTACTGAGTATTTAGAGTAAAATAAAGATGTTTCCTCAAGATTAATTGATAAAGTAGGCAACTTACCCCATAGAAAGACACAGATTCTTCATCAACCATTTCACCGCCCAGATTCTTGGCTAAATCAGCTATACAAACATGTGTATCTTCCATGTATTCACGTCCTCCAATATCAGACCACTCTCCTGATCGAAGGGTAGGAAGGAACTCCATTGCCAGATTCGGACTTTCATCTAAAACGACTGTTCTTTCTTCACTAATGCTTTCTAGCTGAAGTAGTTAATTACAAAATAAAAATGATATTAGCACATAAAAAGGGGTTCACCATTAAGCCAAGAGTTGATGCTACAAGAATACTACAGCATACAAACAGTATGTGATATTACAGCATACTAATACCCATTACATAATGTATCGTAAGTAGTAAATACCCCAACAATGATCACTTAATCAGACAATTAAAACGATAATTATCTATCTTGGCCCTTTGATCATCAACCATTACACCAACAATTTTGTAAAGGAGGCGTAATTATTGATGATATGGGGCTGAAATGTCCCCAATATTAAGCTACAAACAAATGAAACAGTATTTTACCAAGGAAACTTTACAAAAATTTCAAATGAACATCATATTTCATAGTTTAAACAATTGAACTCCCACTTCCATTCTACCTACCAACAATATGAATTGGTTCCAATTGCTCAAACAATAAACTAGATCCTGAATTACAAGACCAACAACAGAACAAGTTTATCTAAAACAAGTCAATTAAATTCAAACCATAAAACTTGGAATTATGTTGCATATACTCAAATTGACAGCAAAAAAAAATTCAAGAGGAAAATAAACAGAAAAACATACCAAATTAGTGATTTTCCAAAAAGGGGAAAAGGGAGGAATTTAGACCCACTAATTATTGATGCTTACCTTATAAAAGAAGCAAACTTTCTATTCGTTCATATAAATTTAAAAAAAAAAAAAAAAAAAAAAAAATCCAAAACACCCTTACTACCTTGATCACCAATGCAAGTAATCCAACATAGAAATCAATCAAAAAAAACCATATTCATATTTATATACAATGAAATCAAATCAAAGACCCAACAAAATAGAAAAAGAGGAGAGAGAGAGAGAGAGTGTTCTTACAGCAGGAGAAGAAACAGAGTTAGGAGTAGCAGCAGAATTCTCCAAATCCATCTGGGTATTCAAGAAATTGTTGTGATTATTATTGTTATCAGTTTTGTGCAAATGTTCATCAGTTGACTCAAAGTCTTGCACGCACATTATATAATAATACAAGTATGCAAGTGTTACAGCTGCAACTTTGCAACTTGTAATTCTGCTGATGCCAAAAGCAACGGACCTGGATCACTTGCACTTGCACTTGCAGAAAGAGAGAGAGAGAGAGACAGTGCCTAAATAACAGGAGAGAGAAATTGAGGTGAAATTATAATTGGGGTAGCTCAGCAGAAAAGATTCTGAGCATATTTCATGACATCTTTTTTTTTTCCAGAAAAATAAAAAAGAAACAAAAAAAATTGTAGGATGCTGTCAAGTTTAACAGAGTTTGGTAGGTGGGTTGTTTTTGGAACAGGACAGAGAATTTTGTAGAATTTCTGTGTTTTTTTTTTCAGATTGTTTTTTTCTGAAATTTGAGTTGGGACACAATTTAATAAAAAGATGATCATGTTGAGAAACATGATTGAATTGAAATTCACATGTGACTAAGTACAATAATTTGTATAAAGTACAATAATGTATATTATTGTATTCAATTATTTGGCTATATAAATGAAAGTTCACGTATTGTGAACTTAAGTTGAAAAACAAGAAAAAAGTTTTCCTACCATTCTACTACCTTCCTATCTTCATCCCTTCACTGATAAATATTTTACCATCAGTAAAATATTTTTATCACGTTATCAGCACCAGTTTTCAGTCAGGTATATTTATACCTACTTCTAAAAATTTATAACAAATAATACTATCTACTTCTAAATGTTTCGAGAAGTATGCTCTATAGTTGCCCGTATTTGGGATCCTCTATACCAGAAACTCAAACATTTACTGTATTATATATACCTCAAAAACAACGGTGAAAGTTCTCTTTTGTTTATTCATGTTGATATTTCTTTGTTTGATCCATGTTGATATTACATACTCATTTTACGTAAATTTTTATCTTAGTTATTATAATTGCTAAGTAGTAATTTTGCATGCATATTATTAACTAGATTAACAAAAAGATGCAGCCTTTTTATACTTATTATTTTTCTTACTTTTACATATTTTTTTGTGTTTCTTTCCGTTTTCGAACCCATGATCTTTTATAGATATTAGGGCTCTCGGACCACTATGGCTTGCATTCCCAGTGTGATAACCTTTTACAATTACAAATATATATATTTAGACCATAATTTTTGTCAGTATATTAGATTGTTATATGATATTTTTACAGTTGTACAGAACAGTAACGGATAAACCTACCTCTATAAAAGACGGATTTTTCCCCCAATTTCACCACAAATCCTTTATCTCTTCCCACTTTTTATCCAAAAATCACCTAAAAAAAAAAATTTTCACCCCCTTCTTCTCCGAAATGTTCCCCGACGACGGCAACCAAAACACCCAAAACACCCACAACTTCACTTTTGAGGAAGATTTAATGAAGATAAAACAATATTTCCTTCTAATTACGGCGCTTGTAATTTTATTAGTAGCAATATTAATTTTTGTCATTATGTATAAGTAAAACTCACTTATTTTGTCGTTTTAGTATATTAAAAGCTTGTTTTTGTTTTATTATTTATGTTTGTTGTTATTAATCATCATTGTATAATATTACCGTTATCATTATAATTATTGTTACTACTGTCATTGTTGTCGTTTTGCTGTTTTTTTTTTTGCAACTAACATGATTAATTTTTGTCTAATCATATAATTACTCACAATAATAAACCAAGGGGGAGAAAAGACTATATTACTTATGGTTTATTATTATTAAATTTAATTATCACGTGTCTTATTAACTTAAATATAAATATGGAAGAACTAAACATGTGAGTTGTACATATAATTTGTTATTATAATCTAATTATCACGAAATTTGTTGTAGCTAAAATGGGAGACCTTATGAAAAGACAGTTCAGCATCTTAGATTTATCTGAAAGAAATTTCTGGAATGGAAAGTGGACGCAATGATGAATTTGAAAGCTCAAGGCTTGGAGCACACTGTTAAAGAAAATAAAAGTCCTCCTGGTCAAACAACTGATACTACCACTTCTGCAATGACGGTTGAAAAACCCATTACCGAACAAGAAAAGGCAAAAGCCTTAGTGTTACTAAGGCATCATTTACATGAAGGCCTTAAAACTGAGTACATAATGGTTGAAGATCCCAAAGAATTATGGGACTGCCTTAATGAAAGATTTGGACACCACAAAAGGGTTCTCCTTCCTAAGGCATTATTTGACTGGACAAATTTACGGTTCCAGGATTTCAAATCTGTAATAGATTACAATTCAACCATACATGAGATAGTATCTATATTGAGATACTGTGATCATCCAGTCACCGATGAACAAATGATTGAAAAAACACTCACTACCTTTCATGCAAGCAACATACTGTTGCAAGAACAATATCGTGAAAGAGGTTTTAAGAAGTTTAATGAATTAATGAGTGTATTGCTTGTTGCGGAACAAAATAGCGATCTTTTGTTGAAAAATCATAATCTCAGACCAACTGGGTCTTTGGCCACTCATCATGAGGCAAATGCAACAAATTTCTATCCACCCGAGTCAAATGCTACAAGAATAGGTGGACGTGGAAATTACAATGGCCGCGGAAGAGGTCGTGGAAATTATCGCGGACGCGGCCGTGGTCGTGGTAGAAATAATTTTCAAAGAAACAGTAATTTCAAAAATTTTGAAAAACAGAAGGGACAGTTATCTGGAAGCCACAAACAAACTCCTTTGAAAGGAAAAGACACATGTTACAGATGTGGCATGACAGGACATTAGGGACGTACTTGTCGAACGGCCAAACATTTGGTAGACCTCTACCAGGCTTCTGTAAAAGGCAAAGAGAAAAATGCAGAAGCAAATTATGTTAATGAGGAAAATGCTCCTTGTCCCAGCCTTGATGTGTCTGATTATTTCATGGATAATGCTGAAATTGGAAATGATTTCATTCTTGGAGAAAACAACAATACTTAGGTTTCTCATCTACTAATGTAACATATGCTATGTTTTAATGTATTTTCTTAGTTCCCTGTATTTTAATGTACTTTTAATCCCTATCATCAATAAAAGTTTGTATGATATTATTCTAAACTAATCTCAAATTTATTTTATAAAGATATGGATCTACCTGAAGTTAGTTCCGAATATCAATGTCTTTTGGACAGTGGAACAACGCATACTATCTTAAAAGATAGAAATTATTTTTCACAACTAAAGTTGTTTCAAGCAAATGTAAACACCATTTCCGGGTCAGCTAAATTAATTGAAGGATCTGGAAAGGCTTGTATAATGCTTCCAAATGGAACAAAATTAATAATCAATAATGCTTTATATTCGAGTAAATCTCGAAGAAATCTCATAAGCTTTAAAGATGTACGCCAAAATGGCTATCATCTAGAAACAATGACAACAGATCAAAAAGAGTATATGTGTCTCACGGCAGAAAAACATGGCAAGAAACATATATATGAGAAATTGCCAGCATACTCTTCGGGGTTATATCGTATAAACATACGACCCGTGGAAATCAATATGGTATCTAACCAGAAGTTAGATGACAAACATTTGACTATTTTATGGCATGATCGTTTGGGACATCCAGCAACTGGGATGATGCACAGAATAATAGCACATTCAGTTGGACATTCAATAAGAAATGTCAAAATTCCCCGATCAGATGAATTAACATGCTCTGCATGCTCACTTGGCAAATTAATAATAAGGCCATCTATGAACAAAATTGCTACTGAATCTCCAAAATTATTGGAAAGAATTTAGGGAGACATATGTGGGCCAATTAATCCAGCATGTGGACCATTTCGATATTTCATGGTTTTAATTGATGTCTCTACACGATGGTCACATGTTAGTCTACTTTCAAGTAGAAATGTTGCCTTTGCAAAATGACTTGCCCAAATCATCAAATTAAGAGCACAATTCCCAGATCATACAATAAAGAAAATAAGACTTGACAATGCTGGGGAATTTACATCCCAAACATTTAATGATTATTGTATGTCAATTGGAATTGATGTTGAACATCCAGTAGCTCATGTCTATACACAAAATGGTCTAGCTGAATCACTAATTAAGAGATTACAATTGATTGCAAGACCATTATTAATGAGGTCAAGATTGCCATCATCTGCTTGGGGACATGCTATAATACATGCAGCAGCGCTAATTAGATTGAGACCTACAGCTTATCATAAATTCTCACCACTACAACTTGTTTGTGGTCGAGAACCAAGCATCTCACATCTAAAAATATTTGGTTGTGCTGTATATGTTCCCATTGCTCCACCCCAACAAACAAAAATGGGTCCACAAAGAAGGCTGGGAATTTATGTCGGGTTTGAATCCCCCTCTATAATTAAATATCTTGAACCATTGACTGGTGACTTATTTACGACTAGATTTGCGAACTGTCACTTTAATGAAACAGTATTCCCAGCCTTAGGGGGAGTGAAAGTGGACCCACGTAAGAAAGAAATTGAACTCATTTGGAATGCAACACAACTGTTGATGTTAGACCCACGAACAAATATGTGTGAACAAGAAGTTAAGAAAATTGTTCATTTACAAAGTGTTGCAAATCAATTGCCTGATGCATTTGTAGACACAAAGAAGGTGACAAAATCACATATACCAGCAGAAAATGCCCCTGCACGTATTGAAATCCCAACTGGTAATAAGGCCATAGAAAATGAATCTCAGGCACGCAGAAAGCGTGGAAGACCACTTGGTTCAAAAGATTCTAAGCCAAGAAAATTGAAAAGATTGGATGGAATAGAAAATGAGACTAATGATGTTCCCCCGTCAGAAGGTCAAGAAAAACCAAATGTGGATGAAAGTAAAGAAAATGATGATAATCCAAAAGGGGACGAACAAGAAGACAACCCTACGGGGAATGAACAAGATGTTCAAAACATCGATAACAATGAAATTTCAATGAATTACGTCTCTACAAAGACTCAGTGGAATAGGAAAGATGTTATCGTTAATGAAACATTTGCAAATTCCATCGCAATCTGATGAAAATGATGTTGAACCAAGAACTGTAGAAGAATGTCGACGTAGGAGTGATTGGCCAAAGTGGAAGGCGGCAATGCTGGCTGAGTTAAAGTCACTTGAAAAACGAGAAGTTTTTGGGAAAATAACCCTTACACCAGCAGGTGTAAAACCCGTTGGATACAAATGGGTATTTGTGAGAAAACGTAATGAAAAAAATGAAATAGTTAGATACAAAGCAAGACTTGTAGCCCAAGGATTTTCTCAAATTCCAGGGATTGATTATGAAGAAACATATTCTCCAGTGGTTGATGCAACTACATTAAGATTTATGGTAAGTTTGACAGTCACAAAAGGACTGCAAATGCGATTAATGGATGTAGTGACTGCGTATTTGTA